TGGGCGGGGGGTGGGGGTGGGCGGGAAGGGGAGGAATTTGCCGAGGGTCCCGTAGCGTGAGTGTGGGGTCAGCTCGCCTGGAGCCTCTGATGTGTGTGTCCGGGTTCGGAGAGGGCAGGAAACACTTCTGCAGCCTGGAGATCCTTTCTTACAGGTGAAGTCTGGGAGCGCACCTGACTGTGCCAGGCTGGGCCCTTTTTGCTGTCAGCCTGTGTTTACACATCCCTGCTTCTCCAAGCTGCATAACTCCGCGCCTGCTCCACCCTCCGGCATCCCTCCCCGGGGCTCATGAGCCCGGCCCAGGCGCGGAGCCTGGGCTCAGAGCTTTCTGGCTAGGGTGGCCGCAGAGGGAGCCAGCTGCGCTCTCCCGGCGCTTGGCGCTCTTCCGCCCCTTGAGGGGCACCAGCTGGGTTCCAGGCGGGTTCGACCTCCCCCAGCCCCTGCCTCCCAGCGCCTTCGGAGACCTGCTAGCCCGAGGCTGCAGGGGCGAATCTGCCGAGGCACTGAGCCCCCAAAGGGTGGGAAGCGTGGCTGCCTTTCCGAACCTCGTGGTTCCTTTGTTTTTCTCCCCAAGGAAGTGTCTAGTTACAGAGACTGTAGTGTTTATTCACCGTCTTACTTTACCCTTAAAAAAAAAAAATCTCCTTCCCACATTAGAAGTGTTTTGTATTTCTGAACCCGGAACAGCTGTGATGATCAGATGAAACATAAACCTCCCCCCCCTCCCGCCTCCCCGCATTCATTCAGTTAGACGAGTCGGTGAAAATGACCTGATTTCAGCTTTTGCCGACGGGCAGCAAATGATCAATTCTAGTTCAAGCCTGTGACTCATTTCTGACCAGGAGAAAATAGTTGTGGTTTTGACTGACTAACGCAGCTGGGTTTCAGCGCCGCCAGGCACTCGGCAAGACTCTCGGCAGGTGCTCCGAACAAGTGCGGGGAGCATATTGGGGACTACATCCAGGGAATCCGGGCTTTTAGGTCGATAGAAACCATTCCGTGCGGACCGAACTTCCTGGTCTTTGTTACACGACCAAAGCAAACGTCATGATTAGACCTCCTCCATTCAGCACCCAGGGTCTGGACAGCAACCTCACCGCCGGGTGTGTTCCAGCCGTAAATCCTGCGCTGGAGCCGCAGGCACTCTTGTGGCCATTGCATCATTGCTTGGCACTGAGGCCTGGGCTTCGTTTAAACCAGCTCACAGAGAGGGAGAATCTGTGGGGGTGCTGATATATATTGGGGGAAGAAAATGTTATCTACCTAGACAGAGTATGGTTTTGAACCCGAAGCTTTGAAAAGAAGTATCTTGGGCTTCTCTACCACAGCTTGACTTTAGAAATGTGAGGCCCCTCTCATGTATTCACAGCCTTCTTCCCGGGCTCCACGAAGGGCATCTGCATGCTCTCCTGGGCTTGGGCACGTCAGGCACATCTCTTTCCAGCTTCTTGACTCCATATATACTAGCATGTTTTTAAAAAGACTGGTCTACTTTATTATTATAATTTTGCAAATTCTGAAGATTGCTCCTACCCGAGTACCGGCCCTACATAGTTGTGGAGAGGTTTTCAGTACACCTAATCTGCTATCAACATCTTAGAAGCAAACATTTCATCATAAATGACAATCATTTAGAACTGAATGCTATGGCTAATGTTTGGTATATCTTGATCCTTGAACTTTCAAGTCATGTCTTTTTAAAAGTGACTTAAAATGTAATTTCATTGATTTTGAAATTGTAGGAAAAGAAAATATAGCATTTTTAGATTTGATTATACTATTTTTTTAAAACACAACTTAAGTAGGAATAAAAATTGTCATTTAATTTTACCCCAATAACGACAGCACATATGCTTCTAACATGGAATTCTGAATTAAAAGAAGCCCAATATACATATCAAATATATAGTCTTTATGTATTCTCCTATTTATGTACTTCAATTCCATAGATTTGGGATTTGGAACAGAGAAGTTCCAAAATAAAGTTAAAACTTTGGAACTTTATCTAAAGTTGTAGGTAACTTAGCATTAGAGTTCAGTTATATTTTTAGCTTGTAGTCTATAACTAAACATACAAACTTTTTTTTTCTCCAATAGCTAAGTTTATTAAGACAGAATTTAAAAACAGGAAATCTCCAATAGGACTACTAAGGAGTCCATAAGTGGGAGGGCAGTGACATTATTTTTATAACTTTTGATATTCCACTGACATTTCCCTAATAGACATAATCCACTCAAATGCGCTAGAAAACAAATTCTGTAAGTAGAGAATTCTCTTCCTAAGTTTTATAAATATTAATGATATAGTGCTAGATGATTTACAGTTAATCATCACAACTATCTATTGAGATAGGTATTATTTATCCTAATTTTTAAAGATAAAGAATTGAGACTGCCCTAGCCGGTTTGGCTCAGTGGATAGAGCATTGGCCTGTGGACCAAAGGGTCCCAGGTTCGATTCTGGTCAAGGGCACATATCTTGGTTGCAGGCTCCTCCCCAGCCTGGAGCCTGATTGGAGCGTGTGCAGGAAGCAAACAATTGATGTGTTTCTCTCACATCGATGTTTCTCTCTGTCTTTCCCTCTCTCTTCCACTCTCTAAAAATCAATGGAAAAATATCCTTCGGTGAGGATTTAAAAAAGGAAAAAAGAAATGAGACTGAGGCAGGTTAAATTATTTATTTGACTCTAGAAACCAAAGTTGAATGGAGGTCTAACTCCACGCCTGTGATTTTTTAAAAAAATGTATTTGATTTTTGGTTTGGCACTACTCCAGACAGCTGTGGAAACCACCATCTTATGGGAAAAGCTCCATTCTATTGCTATAGGTTATTTTTTTCTATAGTAACAACCAATATTCTTTTTCTTTAACAAAATTGACTAAAAATTAGTAAAAGTTTAAAAAACTTCATGATGGTTCAGTTAATTTTTACTTCTATTTTTGATGTAACTTATTTTCTCCCAAAATAACAGTTATGTGTTTTTCTTTTAGGAGTTGACACAAAATTGAAGTTCACTCTTGAGCCGTCTTTAGGTCAAAATGGTTTTCAGCAGGTAACTCTATGTTTGGTTTTGATAATACTCTTCTTTTGGGGTATCTACAGGGTATAATATACTGAGATACATTCTCAAAATGGGAAAACTTTGACAAGCATAAGAAGACAAATCATTTTTAAAAATATAGATGACGCTTGGGTTTATACTTACCATGAAAATTTTTGTACTTTCTATTAATGGTGCAAGTGTGAAAAAAATTTACAAAACCAAACATCTGTTATTCTGAATCCACAGTACATGTTTTGGTTTCTGAACCAGTGCTTCCCAATTATTTTTTGTGGATTGCAAATGGATCACAGGTGTGTTAAGGGTGCCAAGGTGGGGTTTGGGGCAGGCATAGTCCTCACACCAGTCATATCGGCTGAAAGAAGTTGACTGTTACCCAGTGTACTGTACAGAGTTTATGCTCTACAGATGTCAGGATGAAAAAAAAAGATTGAAAAGTGCTTACCCAGGTCAGTAGTAGCATTTTGCCAATATTTCTTCTTTGTTCCTAGTGGTATGATGCTCTCAAGGCAGTTGCCAGACTATCCACAGGAATACCAAAAGAATGGAGGAGAAAGGTAAGGAGGATTTGTAGGGCTGAAATACAAAAGGGCCATCACTCTGTCCCTCTTTAAATCTCTGGAATGTAAAAAATGATATTCTAAATTTAGTAATTTGAAACATGTCCCCTTTCATTATTCATTCATTCAATATTTATTGATTATCTATTCTGCACCAGGTACTGTCCTAGGTACTGGGGATAGAGCAGTGGAAAGAAAAACCAGACCAAAGTGTTTGTACTTATGGAACTTACAGTGAATAAAATATAAAGTATATCAGATGGTGATAAGTGCCATGGATAAAAGTAAAGCAGAAAAATAAGTGAAACTGTGTGGGAAATGGCGATAAGGAGGTGGAATTTTACACAGCAAAGTGTCATTTAAATGGGGCCTTGCAGGAGGTGACCAGTGGGCCATGCAGCTACCCTGGGGGAAGAGTATGCCAGAATACACTCAGGTGGGAGCATTTCAGGAATATACAAGCAAAAGCAAGAGGACGGGGTGGCTGAAGCATGGTGAAAGGGGGAAAGCAATAGGAGAGAGGGTCATAGAGGTAGTGTGATGGGGGTTAGGAGGATGGCAGATCACGTAAGACCTTATAGGCCAGAGTAGGACTTTGCTGGGTGTGAGATGGGAAGCATTGGGTAGTTTTGAGCAGGGGAATTACATGATACAACTTACATTTTAAATGGACCACTTTGGCTACTAACTCGAGAATATGAGGGACAAGGACAGAAGTGGGAGACTAGTAGAGGCTTATCATAATTTAGGCAAGAGATGGAGAAGGGGTCTGATTCTAGATATATTTTCAAGGCTGAGTTGACATGAATTCCTATTAGATTGAATATGAGGTAATAGGATGTCAACGATGACTTCATGATTTTGACCTGAGCTACTGGAAGGGGAGAGTTACTATTTACTTAGGTGGGAGGAGCAGATGTGTGTGTTTATATGTGTGCATGTGTAGTTGAGGTGGTGATGGGTTAGATGATCGGCTTTGTATCTATTAAGGTTAAGACGCCTATTAGATATCTATGTTGAAGGTATCAAGTGGGCATTTGGACATATGATTCTGATGCTTAGGAGAGAAGTCTGAATGGAGATATTAATCAGTGATATTCCTGCTAACTATGTTCAGATACCAAAACTTGAAATGCTCTCTTACTATATCAGTTTATAGACCTAGTCTAATTCTGCTAGAATTTGAATATCAGGGGTTCCTCAAAATATACATTAAAAATGACCTTAAGAAATACATCTTTCAGCCCTAGCCAGTTTGGCTAGTGGATAGAGAGTCGCCTGCGGACTCAAGGGTCCCAGGTTCGATTCCGGTCAGGGGCATGTACCTTTGTTGCGGGCACATCCCCAGTGGGGAGTGTGCAGGAGGCAGCTGATTGATGTTTCTTTCTCATCGATGTTTCTAACTCTTTGTCCCTCTCCCTTCTTCTCTGTAAAAAATCAATGAAATATATTTTTTAAAAAAGAAATACATCTTTCAGAAACAGCTTTTCAGGATAATGTGTAAAAATATCCATTGACTCTAAAAACAGTTAAAAGTTATTCATTATGGGAGCTCATCTGTTGTATTGTGTGTGTGTGAGTGTGTAGAGAGAGAGAGAGAGAGAGAGAGAGAGAGAGAGAGAGAGAGAAATAGATGATTTAAAAGCAGAGACCACCTCATGGTGAGAAAAGGCCCATTCTCCATGAATCAGGTGGCTATTGCTCAAGCATAGACAGCAATTCAGAGCCAAGTATAAAAAGCTTGTAACATAATATAGCTAATTCAATGAACTGAAGTAAAACTTGAAAAAAAAATTTTTAACAGTATTCCTAATGTTAGGACCATTGCTTGATACATAGTAGAACTCAACAAATATTAATTGAAATTTTGAACACATCAAAGGTCCTAATTGATGCAATTCAGTACAATACACATCTCAGGGAGGCTCTTTTTGGATTTCTGCATGTGGGCTGTTTCTGGTCTAGGAACAGTTCCCATTTTCTTGTTGGATGCAATCACTAGTCCTAGTAAAGGTGAAATTATGTATTTGACTTTAGCATCCTTCTTTATTCATGTTTTAGGTTTGGTTGACCTTGGCAGATCATTATTTGCACAGCATAGCCATTGACTGGGACAAAACCTTGCGCTTCACTTTCAATGAAAGGAGTAATCCGGATGATGACTCAATGGGAATTCAGATTGTCAAGGTAATGCCCCTGAGCGTGGCCTGTTGTCCTAACTTAGAAGGAAGATTCCAAGAGCCAGACGTTTCCTGGATAGAGCATCAAGCCTATGGTCTGAAAGTCTGTATATTTTCTGTTTCTTCTTCAGTTAATAGCTTTTTAATGAAGAACTTTGACTGTATACATTGTCTTCAAAAGTTTGTGTGTTGCCAGTAAGAATAAAATGTTTCCATTCATATTCAGCTTATTTGTTCACATAACAGATAAATAAATTCTTCTTTTTTTTTTTTTTTTTAGCATTGGTCAGTGCTGTTAACTGGATTTTCACATAAAAGTAACTGAGAAATTTAAAGTTAAGGATAGTCCTATTATAATAATTGGGTTCTTATTAGGGTCTTTGATAATTTCTTAATTGACAATTTATGAATATAATTAGATTGACTGGTGGGTCAATCTAATGACTGGTGGGTCAGTCTAATTAAACTAGCTGGTCAAGGGTCCAGGCCAGCCCTGGAGGCAGCGGTGGTTTGCCTACCTGGCTCATTACAGTTGGTTAGAACCTGGTGCCAAAAGCCAACGCTGCTGATTCGATTTGATCTCACTATTACTCTCTTACATAAGTCTGTAGCACGTGGCTTTTAACTTTATATGAATACATCACAGTGTGACACTAAGCTGAGGTTTTAAAAGGAAACTTGTTTCATCTAAATTTTGGTCACCACAAGATGGCTAATGTTTTGGCAGATTTGAAGATTTTTTTTTTTCTGAGGAAGTACTAACTAAAAGAAGCTACTTTCTGATCTAATTTGGTCTGTTTCAGACAAATCCTAAAAATATATTATGGAATTTTATATGGTATGCTTGAAAAGCTTTTACATTTTGAAGTTTCAGTTGTTTATTTGGAATTTCAGAATGTGTTTCTCACAGATGAAGTATTGTATATTTTAAATATTTTCTTTCTGTTTAAATTGCAAATTAAGGCAATGCACATTTTATAATGATCACGTTATTAAGAAGATCTTTTATTTTATTTTTGAAGTGAATACTATGTCAGTAAAATGACTTCAGCTCCTGAAAATCATAGTCTCTGCCTGGTAATAAAATTATGGATATTTCCCTGATTAAATGTTAAATTTTTGTCTGTTTTACACAAATTTATAAAACCTTGTGGACAGAATAATTTTTCTGTTTTAGACAGAATGATTTTTCTGTCCCTCTACAATACAGGTTGCATTTTTTGCTATTTTGGTTTTGCTCCTTAATACTAGTTGGAATTTTGATAGCTAAATAAACTTTATATCCTTTTCTGTAAGAAGAAGTAATGTTGGCATGTATCATACATATGTTGAAATGACTTGTTTTATCTGAGATATATTATTAAATAAACTGTCAACTTATATGAAATTTTGTTAATTCTAAGTCCCTCTTTGTGTTAATTCTGGAAACACTTTAAGTAGAAAATTTGCCTGACTGCAATTCCTCTTGAAAATGTCTAAGCATATTAGAAAACATTAGGAAAAAAAGGAAAGGAATTTCTTTTGACCCATGTTGCATATACAATTTTAAAAAACTACAGTCCATGTTGATAATCTACTTAATGCTGAGGCAAAGAAATAACTACCGTTTTTGTTTTTATTTTTTGGTTTTGAGAGAGAGTATAGTAAGTCACTTAAAAAAATTACTGTTTTCCTCTTATTTTAGGATCTTCACCGCACAGGCTGCAGTTCTTACTGTGGCCAGGAGGCTGAGCAAGACAGGGTTGTGTTGAAGCGGGTCCTGTTGGCCTATGCCCGCTGGAACAAGAATGTTGGGTACTGCCAAGGCTTTAACATCCTGGCTGCACTAATTCTGGAAGTGGTGGAAGGCAATGAAGGGGATGCTCTGAAAGTGAGTATCAGGCTCTGAAGAAGGCAACTGAAATTCTTCAGAGAGTTAAATATTGGAACTATGATTTCTCTTCCCTGATGCCCACTTCCTTCCGAGGTGTTTGCCACGCCTTCGTAATTACCCATGATACCGTTTCCCCCAGGTTAAAGCCAGGTCAAGTGACAGATTCATGTAGCTACCAGATGTGAAGAGGATGATTAGGTGTTTAGATTCACTTAGAAGACATCTATTTTTAAAGCAAGTTAGTTATTAATTATATGAATACTTATTGTTGCATAACAAAGGAGCTGCTTAAAACAGCAAACTTGGTATTACCTCACTGTTTCTTTGAGTTAGGAATCTGGGCATGGCTTAACTGGCTCAGAGTCACATGATTGTGGCATTCAAACTGTTGGCTGGGGTGTGGTCTCATCTGAAGGCCTGACCAGGCGGGAGCATGCACTTCCAAGTTCATTTAGGTCGTTGTTGGAAAGCTGTAATTCCTCACAGGTCTTGGACTGAGGGCCTCAATTCCTTGCTAGCTATTGGTCAGAGCCCTTTTTTAGTTCCGCTTTGTGGGGCTCACCATTGTGCAACATTCTGGTTGGTATCCCTCAATGAGCAAGAGAGTGAAAGAGAGTGAGCAACACAGAAGAGATTAGGTTACAGATTTGAAGCCTATATATCAGAAGTCACATTTCATCATTTTCCCCACATTCTGTTCATTAGGAGCCAGGCACTAGGTCCAGCCCATACTCCAGGGAAAGGGCTTATAGAAGAGTGTGACTCTCAGGAGGTGGGGAATCCCTAGGGTCATGGTAGAAACCGCCTACTCCACCAGTTATCCTAAATTCTGGTTGGATCTTATTAGATTGCTTTATTCTTGCATATCTGGGATGAGGTATGGAGGAGGTAGGCTGAGAGTGAATGTTTATGATGGAAGCAGATTGCTTGGAGAAAGGTTATAGAAGCGAATTATCTTTTAATCTTTGATGCCCAGGGCCTTTATTAGTAAAATAAATAAATTCTGAAAACACTTTGAGATGGGACACTAGCAGTTTAAGCATGTAGGTCTGAATGTGATTCAGTGAATCACCAGAAATAAGTCTTCAGGAGGAAGAAAGCATTTTACACGTGGAAGATGACCACTGCCTTACTTGCTTGGGGCTATATGGGGTTGCTTCTTCTTATTTGAATCCTCAGACTGCTGTTGATTGCAATGCTTTGTGATGGTTACTTCGTCTTTGTATTCAAGAGCACCTCCCCCCACTCCCATTCTTTGTTTGACTGTGGCAAACACCACTGTGATATTCTCAACCAGGGACTAATTCTGATATGGAAAGATAAGCAGATTTCCTCCTGGTTTTATACACATCATGGAATTAATGATAAAGCCAGCCTGACACGATCTCATTCTGTGTTCACCCTCTCACTTTTTCCATTCATGTATTTAAGGAAACAGCTTTGAAGCTACTTGTTCATCAAATAGGCAGGGGTGGACGGGGGAGGCAGTGACAAATCGAATACACGACTTTAAAACATTTTTTATTAAGAAGCAATTTTGTTTAAATAGTCCATCAGCTTTAGTTATTTTTCCCCCCAGCTTTTACTTGTATGACTATAAAATGGGAACTGCTCTATTAAAAAGCTGAAATAAACAATTCAGGTTGGGGGTGAGGTGGGAAGGTTTGGGGAAAGGGTTATGATGCCAATCAAATCATGAAAGGACTCAGTGATGGTACTTGAGAAAGTAAAAAGTCACATAAAAAGATGGATTAAATAAAGCTCAGAAACTGAATATTTAAGAAAATGAACTTTATGGAATGAAATGACATTATCATCATTTAGGAATCTGGTTAGGCATTTAATGTGCAGAGGAAGGTTGGGTTTATGAAGAAATACTTCTGATGCAAAGGAAAATATTGGCTGTTGGTGTTTTTCCAACAGCTATTTTGGCCTCTGCGAGTTGTAATTACTAGGGAAATATATAATTTATTAAATGGAGGCAAACCATTTTCCTTGCTTTTTTGCACTTAGTAACTGTTTTACTTTTGATGAGGTGTCTGTTAAGGTTTTTGGGCCATTTTTTAATCGAGTTTTTTTGTTTGTTTGTTTTTAAAGCTTGTTTTCTTATTATTGAGTTTTAAGAGTTCGTTGTGTATTTTGGACCACAGTCCTTTATCAGATGGATCTCTTGAAAGTATTTTCTCCCAGACTGTGGCTTGTCTTCTAATTCACTTTCACAGAGCAGAAGTTTTAAATTTTAATGTAGTCTAGCTTATTAGTATTTCTGCATAGATTATGTCTTTGGTGTTGTGTTATATCTAAAAAGTCATTCCCATACCCAAGGTCATCTAGGCTATGCTATGTTCTAGGGATTTTATAGGATTGCATTTTACATTTAGGTCTATGATCTCTTTTGAGACAGTTTTTGTGAAGGATGTAAGGTTTGTGTCTAGATTCAGTTTGGTTTGCATTTGGATGTCCTGTTGTCCCAGTACCATTTGTGGAAGAGACTATCTTTGCTTCCTTCCTTCCTTCCTTCCTTCCTTCCTTCCTTCCTTCCTTCCTTCCTTCCTTCCTTCTTCCCTTCCTTCCTTCCTTCCTTCCTTCCTTCCTTCCTTCCTCTCCCTCTCCCCCTCCCCCTTCTTCTTCTTCTTGATGCAATGTTTGGTCCTTGAAATACAGCAGTGGGTGGAGTGACATTGCTGACATAAGACATCAGACTTTGAGATGCTATGGGATAGAGAATTTCATTGTGTCACAGAATTATTATGAGAATTGGTAATTTTTTTGTTGATTTCTTGTTTTTGTGTAATCTTGAGCCTCATAATTTCTTCATAAAAACTTAAATATTTTTCTCAGTCTTACATCACTTATCCTAGATGAAAAGTGATCTTGTATGTCCCCCTCCCTTACCATGGTATGCAAAGTCTGACCGGGCACTGTACTCTGCAGGAAACTCACTCCCCCCTCACCTGGCCTGGGCACTCTGGGACCACCTCCCTCCACACGCACTGAATATACTCTTTTTATTGCTAAGTTCCTATTTTCAGAGTGATGGTACATTTACCTGGTAAATTCTGTCCCTATACGTATAGGACGGCGATAGCCACTCCCTGGGCCTTCCCAATCCTGGAATAAAGATCTGGGGGGAGGGGCAGGTATTCTTGAGAATATGTCTCTACCCTATTGACTTAGTTAAAACTCTGACCTTAAAAGTAAAAATTATAAGCCAGGGATGAGGGAAAAATGGGCCATTGGCAGGTCTTGGAGATAATTTTTGGGGGAAATTAGGTTTTGCAAAATGATGAAAATCAAAATGTGAGACAGCTACTTTCTACCAACATATAGGGCCAGCTATGATTTTGTTCTCAATTTTGATTTTCTTGTGCTCTGGGGAATGAGCAGGTCTTCTAGCAGGGAGGGCATATGAAGAGCATGTGTGCTGACAGGGAAGGGATCAGAGATTAGAACATGTGTGTTTTGCTGGGCCGTGCTAGTGGTTCTTGACTTCTTAGAAAAGGTAACGCAAATAAAAAAAAGTCAGAATGAAAGTAGCAATTTGAAGAACGTATGTATGAGACACCCTTATGGAAGGAATCCAGATTTTAAAAGTCTCATTTGTTCAAACAAAACCTTGTTGCATTCTCCCAGGAAAGGAAAGTGGACAAAGAGCCCACATCAGTTATTCTGATAACCCAGGTTGATGGTAGGTGAATCCTGAGATGGGCTTCAGGGGGGTGTTTTGTGATGGGCCAATCTTGGTTTTCATAGGAAGGCTGGAAAGCTGCTGACTTCAAGGAGCCAGTGTTGGGATTCCTGCTGGCTGTTGTGGAAGCACGTGCTCCACCTCGTACTTCTCAGAGCGAGGCTGAGGGTTGTCTGATCACAGCCACCCATGGGTAGCCTCAGGTCTAGCAGCCCATGTAGAAACTGTAGACCATAGCAGTCTGCGGGTCTGAGCTGCTTTGAGAACTTACTTAGATAATGATGAATGGCTTAGATAATGATGAATTATCCAGATAATTATGGCACATGCTCTTCACCCAGGGTGGAGTTGAGCCTCGAAGATCCAGAACATTTGGTACTGACACATTTAAACGACAGTGTGCTTTGGCTAACTACATTTGATCCATTTGAATATGTTTTTTTATCTTTTTTTCTTAAGATTATGATTTACCTTATTGACAAGGTACTTCCCGAGAGCTATTTTGTCAATAATCTCCGGGCGTTGTCTGTGGATATGGCTGTCTTCAGAGACCTCCTGAGACTGAAGCTCCCTGAATTATCTGAGCACCTGGACACTCTTCAGAGAACTGCAAACAAGGAGAGTGGAGGTAGTGATGATTCAATGCTATTGTACCTTCGAAATTTTTTACTTTTCTGACTCCACCATACATAGGAGCCTACACCTTGAATGGAAATACATCTTTTCAGGTATTTCTGTTGGTGAGAGTTTGATGCAATGAAATAGATTTTTAGAGAACAGGAACAAAACAAAACAAACAAAAAACCAACAGAGGGCCACATACTGAACCTTTGAATGGTCATAGTTAGGAAGTTGGTCAGGAACCTCATCTGTCACCAGTACCAGACATTCTTGTCTTTTAGATGAAGAATGGGGGTACATGTCTCGCCATCTAGTTAAACTTCTCTAAGCTGGCACCAAATCTATAGGCATCTTTAAAGATGAGCTGCAGGTACCATTTAGCACATGCTGTGATTTTTTTCCTAAAGCACTGAGGTTATGGAAGAGTGGACTATGTATTTTCATAAAGTTGTAGGAGAGAATTTGAGTTGAAATGTTTAATGTTACTTTTATTGATTCATGCTAAGGGTATGCAGATTCACTTGAGATGAATGGGCCAGTTCTTGCTGGAGAAAGAGCTGCAGGTAGAACTTGAACCCTGAAGGAAGGCGCTGACTGAGTAAAGGTGGCGATGGAGACCGCTCTGTTACAGCTCTGAGAGTCACCGCCGTCCAGCAGGCATCAGCCAGCTTTCCGGGTGACCTAAGCTAGCGCTGTAGTTACGCCCCTGCTTGCACTTCCCTGGCTGTGCTCAGGAGACCAGAAAGAAGAGTCACAAGTGTATTGTGTTTCCTGTAAATGGTTGCCAGTTACTGGCCACACATTTAAACTGAGGAAAATATTAAATGATTTTGAGGACCTAATCTGTCCTCAATTAAAATACACTGGAAATTTTAGTGACACCTGGGTGTCTCTAAGCATTTCCTTCTAAATCATTTGAATAATCTTCACATTTAATTTGGCTGTGCAGTTTAATTATGCACCTGTGTGGATTTCATAAGACTCCCGGGTCGAACTGCCTTAACCTGTCCCATAGTCAGACATGCTGTACTGGGGTCCATGTTTTCCCCCTAGTGCTCTGCATTGGCCTGCAAGGGGTGACCTCAGATTCTAGTCTCTGGGAAGAGATGCTCCCTTTGTTCCTAGGTAAGAAGGAAGAAAATGAGGGCAGGAGAGCAGATCTCTTTTTGCTTATACTTGGGTAAATGCATATTCTGACTGTAATTAGGAGGGAGAAGCAGTCCACATATCTAAATTTTACTTCATTAAAATGCATACTTATGCCATCACAGGAAATGAGAGGGAGCTCTGTGTTTTTTAGTGAATTTAGAAACTTCAAAGTGAGCCGGATCTCAGATATTTAAAACTGTGTAGTTTAGTGCAACATATTTTAAAATTTCATGTTATTTAATCTCTAGATATTTGGGGTGGGGGGGAGGTTTCCAGCTATCTTTCTCTAATTAATTTGTAGTTTAATTCCATTGTGGTCTGAGAACTATGAATACTTTAAGCAGTAGACAAGCAATTACTAATGAGCAATTTTACTTTTCTGAGCAGCATTTGAATAAAAGTGGGCTTTAGGATATTTTGGAAATCGACGTTTGCTTTCGAGGGACTAAAATCCCTTTTTTAAATCTCATTTTTGGTGAGGAAGACATTCTCCTTAATTTTCAGCATCCCATAATAGGCAGAACCAAATTAAGTGTTAGGTTAAGATTTCTGAAGTACCATAAAGAATTTGTGAAGTTCATATTATTGAGATTTTTATTAAACACACCTGTGTCCTTCTAGAAAAAGGAAGGAAAAAAGAGGAAAGAACCACAATTTAGCCCCCATAAACAAATCAGTCAGGAAAAGTAACATAGTTGGGTGGACTTGGGAGACTGGAAGAGGGTGCCTTTATATCTTGCAAACTGTCAATTCTGAAGAAATGGAGTGTTTGTTTTATTTCAGGTGGATACGAGCCCCCGCTCACGAATGTCTTCACGATGCAGTGGTTTCTGACTCTCTTCGCCACGTGCCTCCCTAACCACACCGTTTTAAAGATTTGGGATTCTGTCTTTTTTGAAGGTTCGGAAATCATCCTAAGGGTGTCGCTGGCTATCTGGGCCAAGTTGGGAGAGTAAGTGACTTCCCCCTTCTCTTCTGTTCTGTGGTGTTGGGGGCCTTGAGCAGCTTTTGTGCTCTAACATGTAAAGTGTCGATAATTAAGTGTGAGGAAAAGAGGAAGTTGTGAACTTTGTGCAGTGGCTTTAGCCTTCTGGGATCTCAGCTGGCACATTCTTTTTTCTTTTTTCCTTTTAATCTTTATTGTTGAAAATATTACATAGGTCCTCCTTTCCCCCCATTAACCTCTTCCCGCCCACTCCCGTCCTTCCCCACCCCAGGCCCTCACCTATTGTTGAAAGTATTACATAGGCCCTCCTTTTCCCCCATTAACCTCTTCCCAACCCCAGGCCCTCACTACCCCATTGCCTGTGTCCCTGGGTTATGCATATATGCATACAAATTCTTTGGTTGATGGCTTCCCACTCACCCTCCCCTGCTGACACATTCTTGGTTGTTGGGGACAGATGGCATCTACTTTAGAGAAGGGGGCAGGCTTGTTCAGGCCTGGAATTCTCCTCCTCCTCCTAGTGTGGTTGTCCAGCTGGTTTGCTCTTTGTCAGCATCTCTCCGGACACTAGTTTTGAAGAGACTTAGGTGCATGAGGAACTGTGAGGTCTGGAAAGAAGTAGGTGGATTTGTTGGTTAATACCACAATTTGGATTATGTTTGAATCTTTATTACTTATTGTGTCCAGCCTTTTAGGGCTGTGATGAAATTAAATGAGATAATAAATATAAGGTGTCTAGCAAGGTGCTTGATACATAGTCAGTAGAACATAGGGAACTTCTTTCCTTTCATCAGGAATTAACACTGTGTGTGGGAATCTATTACTACCAAACACATCACTAAAGAGATTTTACTTACATTCTTTACTAGCAGCTGGGCTGAAAAAACTAGGGTGTTTTCACCCATCTTGACTATATTATGACTATTACATTAAAATTCTACCTTTTTGTTAATGGAAGAAATACAGGGGTGGGCAAAAGTAGGTTTACAGTTGTGAGTACATGAAATAGTTTATTTTTGTATTATTATTAATTAATTATTGTATTATTTTCCATATGAACAACAGTAAACCTACTTTTGCCAATCCCTGTATTAGAATGAAATTGTTATAGTTAATTTAAGATACAGAGGTAGTTTTTTTTTCTGTCAGAAGTTTGGTATGTTTTTTTAAATCATCACCTGAGGATATTTTTCCATTGATTTTTAGAAAGAGTAGAAGAGAGAGAGAAAGGCAGAAACACCGATGTGAGAGAAACACACCTATTGGTTGTCTCCTGCATGCGCCGAGCCTGCAACTGTGGTACATGCTCTTGATTGGAATGGAACCCGGGACCCTTCAGTCCCCAGGCCATCAATTCATTATCTATAGGATTAGCATTTAGTCATATTGTCACTCCAAGGATGTCACATTGTTGAAAAGGTAATGGCTACACTTTTAAATCCAATATTCATTGAGTGCTTGCAATGGACAGGCATTGCTCTGAGCACTCTACATGTAAGGCTAACTCCTTTGGTACTCACCATCATCCTATGAGTTAGGTCCTCTTATTATCCCCATTTTACAGATGTGGGAACTGAGGCACAGAGAAGTTAATTGCCCAAGGTCACCCAGTTAGGAGTGGAAGGGCCTGTTTTTGAACCCAGCTCCCTTGGCTCTGGAGTCTGTGATTTTTAACAATGTGAATATACTGATAATATATGGCTCCTATTTTTAAAAAAATATATTTTATTGATTTTTTTACAGAGAGGAAGGGAGAGGGATAGAGAGTTAGAAACATAGATGAGAGAGAAACATCGATCAGCTGCCTCCTGCACACCCCCTACTGGGGATGTGCCCGCAACCAAGGTACGTGCCCTTGACTGGAATCGAACCCGGAACCCTTCAGTCCGCAGGCCGATGCTCTATCCACTGAGCCAAACCGGTTAGGGCTATGGCTCCTATTTATGCAGTTCAGAGGATATATGAATCAGACTGGTAGAATTTTAAATGTTTCAGAGCCTTTGTTCATTATAATTCTACATGTTTTGAGTGTGCAACTTGTTAAGCAGAAGGAAAGGCAACCAGCATACATCAAGTGCCTATAGTGCCATCATTATGTTAGACTGTGTAAACACATGACCTCATTCATCCTGCCCGTAGTCCTGTGAAGTCGGTGGGACTTAAACCTGGATCTTTCTGACTCCAGTGCCTGTGGTCTTCCCCACAAACTGTCCATTGGAAAAATCCTAAACAGCAGATAGGTAGTCTCCAGCTATGTGCGCCTGAGTAACATATGTGCCTCATGTATGGTTATCCATGGGACCTCTCCCCTTGCTTCTGCAACTTGAATGCCTCCCTCTCACTCACACCAAGGGTGCTTTTAGAATATGCAAGCTGTAGAGCATCAGCTCACCTTCCCTGGCATCTCTTTCCCGTGTCCTTTCTCCTCTGACCCTGCTGCTCTGGCTCGCTCCCTCGTTCCCTCATGCCTGGCCTGTCTTGGTGTGTCTTTCCTGGTTTCCCCGTCACACCCACACTTGCCATGCCACCTCCAGGCTGACCTTGCCAAGGGCATGTCTGTTCCCACACTCCCTGTTCAGAGCCTTCCAGTGATCGTCGCTTGCAGGGGCTCAGCTGGCAGGTGAGGCCTTCGGTGTCCTTTGTCTGCAGCTCTCCCCCTGCAGCTCCCTGGCTCCATTCTGGCCCCGGGGAGCCACTTGCAGATTCTTGGGTAGGGCCTGCAGCTGTCTCCTGCCTCCATGCCAAAAATATACTTTTTCTTCCTTGTCAACCGGGAGAATATTTTTCAAAATTCATCTTCAGCATTATTTCTCTTCCTCATCCCCCAGGGTAAACGTAACCACTTTTTTATTGATGCCCACATGCTGCTTTGTATTTCTGTAATAACACCTCAACAGTTCATCTCATTTATTTATTTACCTGATTGTGGCAGTGAGATTTGAACAGCACTCCAGAGCCTGAAGTTTTCCCAGCATCTTATTTTTTGGGGGATGGCTGTATGAAAATCCCCCAACGTCAGCGTACATCATACTGTATCTTGTGGTTGGTGGCCAATAGAGTCATCCTCCTACACAGAGGATGTCATGGTAGATCAAACAGAGGCACCGTGCTCTTTGTTTCGGACCACTCCTTTTTTTCCCCTCGAGAAGAAGGATTAACGTGTACCCTGCCTCACAGGTTGCCAGGTAACAGCTTCTTTATATGTAGAAACAAATGTAAGAAGCAGGGTGCGATCTCCAGCTAGCAGCAGTGCCCTGAGAAGAACTGAAAAAATTCTGCCTGTGAAAGCATCCTGTGGACTGATGACATATACAGATAAAGTTCTAGTATGTCTCACCTTTTATTTCTACTGTGGTTTGGTTTTCAGTCTATCGGTGATACCACGGTTTGTAGATTAACAGCAACAGATTTCCTCCTGGGGATAATTGTTCTTCAGATCTAATTTCATGGTTATGATTTCTCATCAGTGGTGGGTATTCTGATGTGTAAAATGTGTCACATGGAAGCAGTAAAAAGTGCCACCGGTAGGGCTGGGAGGCTGGGGAGCCGTGTAGGAAAGATGGGAACTCATCCCGTAATAAGTACCCCCGAGTTGCCGTGGGTATTTTTTATCTTTTCTCTGTGTATGGCAGGCTGTATAGGGAGTGTGTCCCAGTATTTTGAGTTTTGTTGATTGCTGATGTGATTGATTTGATGGCCGGAGGCCACATACCCTTTGGGACCTGGAGCACATGCCTGATAGACAGCATGGGTGTCCGACACAATTCCTTGTCCTGTCCTTCTGCTTCTAGGCAGATAGAAAACTGTGAAACGGCAGATGAATTCTACAGCACCATGGGGCGCCTCACCCAGGAGATGCTAGAGCATGATCTTCTAGAAAGCCATGAACTCATGCAGGTGAGTGGGCAGCTCGGCCCCGCCGTGGCTCGGGGACTCGGGCACCGTGGGAACAAGCAGTCCAGAGCAGTGGTCTTGGGAAAAGTACTTGGCCAGCCTTCAGATTTAATTTTTCAATTGACCAAGAGTCTATATATAATTTGATAAGAATCTTAACCACGTCACAAGAGGAAAAAAGAAATGAATAATAGATATTTATTGTGGCTTTCATTCAAACTTGTTGCTTAAAAATCACGAGGTGCAATACAAAAATAAATTTAAAAAAACTGAAGAATAAAACCCCAAATCATCAGATACTTATTCTCAATCTGATTCTTAGCCCTTTAAGGGGAGACTTGTGGGGGTGAAGTAATTATTTGAGGGGAGGCATTACTGAGGATAGAAGGGAGATTGTTGTAATCAGCACTTTGGTTTGTTTTGCCCACATTTTCAACTGATGTTATAGGTGGATCATAAATTTCAACATGAAAGACTTGAAGGGTTTTGTTATTTTTGCGGCATGTTGCTCTATCCCAGTATCATATTTACCAAGTCACTCAGACAGAAAAGAGTGAGTGTAGGGAAGAGCAGATTTGTTAACACTCTCTCTTCCATTAGGTTCTGTAACATAACTTGATCTCCATTCTCCGATGCTTCTGACCACTTTCCTCCTGGTTCTTCCTCTTGCCCACTGACCAACTGTAGGTCTTTCCAAGGTTGTCCTCGGGCCTTGGTTACTTCCCCCCTCTCCTCTTTTTCTTGTTTTCAGCATTTACTTTTATGTTGGGTTCCATGCCTGAGGTCAGTTTTGGGCCCCAGCCAGCAGGTTAGAAAACAAACACTCAAGCCCTGATTTAGGACATAAGATGCATGGAGCTTCCATTCCTTTGTTCCTGTCCTGGCACTGCAGCTCCTTTTTGGAATTCCTAATGTTTAGCAGACAGTTACTGATTTGTTGAGAATATTGACCACTTAATATAACTTCCCTGAACATTGATATTTTTTAGTTCAGCTTTTCTTTCCATTATCATCTCTTTTCTTCCTTGCTGTCTGTCTCAGAGGAGGAAGTGTTCTGATACTGACATCTTTGCTTGATTTCAACTCTTCTCACATTGCCATTGCTTCCTCACTCACTCTCTCTCTCGGAGGGAAGTACCTTTTATTGCGCTTCCCTCTGTGTGCCAGGTCCATGCCTGACATTTTCTTTTACATAATTTTTAAAAGAATATTTTTTTATTGATTTCAGAGAGGTAGGGAGAGAGAGAGCAAGAGAGAGAGATAGAAAGAAACATCAATGAGGAGAGAGAATCATTGATCGGTTGCCTTCTGCATGCCCCCCACTGGGGTCGAGCCCACAACCCGGGCATGTGCCCTGACTGGGAATTGAACCGTACCTCCTGGTTCATAGGTCAACGCTCAGTCACTGAGCCATGCCGGCTGGGCTACATCATTTTCTTTTAAGACATTCTTAGATGATGTGCCTCCTCCCAGATTCCCTCTGCTCTAATACAATCAGCATTTTGCTGCCAGAGTAATAGTCTAAACTTACTGCTTTGGCCATTTCACTGTTATTCATAAAACCTTCAGTGCTTCCTTGTTATTAACTATAGGAAATAAAATGCTTCAGCCTTGTTTCTGAGGTTCTACGTTAACCTCTGCAAAGATTTATTGAACATCTTCCTTGGCCCTGACCAGTGTGGCTCAGTTGGTTGGAGCATTGTCCCATACACCAAAAGGTCTCAGGTTGGGTTCCCAGGGAGGGGACATACTCAGGTTATGGGTTCAATCCGCATTGGGGTGTGTGCAGGAGGCAACTGATGTATCTTTCTCATATGGATGTTTCTCTGTTTCCCTCTCTCTTCCTCTCTCTCTAAAACCAGTAAAAATTTATCCTTAGGTGAGGATTAAAAAAAAAACTTCCTTGAATACTAATAGCAGTTGGTCAGGCTGTGTGTGTGTATGTGTATGTGTGTGCATGCGTGTGCCTGTGCACATGGGTGCACACATATGCAAGTGTGTATATGTGTGTATGTGTTGGAGGCAGTGGTGCAGAGCAGAGAGGCTGTTCCTGGTGGAGGTGGGCAGGGTGAGTGGAAACCTCTATTGTGTGTGAAGGAAACTACAAGGAGTGTGGTATTCAGGGAAGGGTTATAGAAGACCTCAACCCGTGTTGAGGAGCTTGGCCTTGATCTTTTAGGTCGGTGGTTGTGAAATGGAGTCCTTGAGCTTGCTGGAGTTCTAGGACTTCTGTGGAGCCTTCAGAAAGGGAAGAACAACTGTGGAGCTGAAAGGTTTTAAGGAGAGGAGGGGAAGGGTCTGAGTTATTTCTTAGGTCAACTACATGGGTGGCTCTGTGAAGGGTGGACTTGACCGGGTCATGTTTGATAACATGAGGCCTGTGAGGAGCAGCAAAGGGTAGAAACAAAAATGGAATAGAGACAATACTTAGAAGGTGAAGTTGATAGGACTTGGCCACAGAAACAATATGGTCTGATGAAGAAAGAAATGGAGGGGACAAGGGCAATCACACATTTCTGGCTTAGAAAGAGGAGGGCAGGAAGATGAGTTAGCTCTCAGAGAGGCTGCATGGAGGTGCACTTTGGCTGTCCCATTACTCACCTGTCCAAAGGTATTCCCCACCCCTTCACAACCAGAACCTATCACACTGGTCATAGCTCTGTTAGTCCATGCTCGTGCCAGTTGAGGGCTTGTGCTGCCCTCTCACACTATCTGTGAAAATACTAAACACCCATCTGGATCCTATCCAGTCTCCTTCCTCCCCACCCCCACACAGCCTCTGTACCTCAGCCCTCATTAAGTATGCCTCCTCCGTACTCCTTCAGTATTTAACATTTCCAACAATTGATTAATTGCTATTACAGATTATTTGATATTGTTTGGTATGTGTTCATCTTATTTCTCTAATGAGGTAGCAAGCTCCTTAATGCTAGGGGCCTCAGATTGCTCTGTATCTCCATGACATCTATCGAGTTCTGAGAATACACCTGGTTGCTCAATGAATACACAGAATCACAGAACATTAGAACTCGAGGCAGTGGTTTTCAAAGTTGACTGTGTATAAGAAACATCTCAACAGTGCATTAAAACTCAGGTGTTTGCTCCATGGGTGGTTCTGAGGCAGATGGCTTAAAAAAAATACTTAGAGAAACTCTGGCTTTAGAGAAGCTTAAAGATTAACCTAATTCTGCCACTTTACAGAGAAGAAGCTAAGACTTGGAGAGCCAGCATCTGCCAATTTCTTAGGTTGTCTAGTGGCAGACCCAGGACTGGAACTCAAGGCCCCGATCCCTGGGCATCCTACATGCTTATACCTTATTTAAAAAATGTCTTTCTAAAACTGAAATCCTCCTTAGAAGAATAAGGCAGCATTTTATTTTACTTAAAGCCCAAACATTGCCAGATGAATGAGATATGTTGAGATCTACACCTGTCATCTTTGTCCTCTAGGAATTCCCAACCTGAGGGATTAGGAAAGAGGACCCTTCATTACCTCTTAAAGGAAATCCTAGAGGGGAAAATTCGGGCTGGGGCTTGATAGATTAGTTCCCCTTTTAGTAGCATTATTTTTTTTCCTGCCAAAGAAAACATCTGGGTGATGATAAACTGAGCTTAATTTTATACAACTTATGTTTTCATGTTTCTTGTAAAAACATGTCAATAATGAAAAAGAAATAAGAATTTCTTTTCAGTAGTGTCTAAATATAAATGTCTATGGGAGTGTGTGTTGGTAGTTGGTTTTCCTTGGCATCGTAGAGTATTAAGGAGAGAAATGCTGACTATCATTTCAAGCCACTCTCTTTCTGTGTTCACTCGTGAAAAACAGTTAGTTCAATGGTTGGGTTCCAATTATGGTGCACTTTCCGTCTGTCCGCAAACCTGAGATGGCTCCGGGTGAAACGTGGACCGTGTGTGAGGTCAGAGAAGAGACGAAAGGGTTCTCCCTGCTTGGTCTTCTCCATTTCTTTCAGCTCTAAGTGCCAGACACAAAGTACTGTTTTTCTCCCCTGTAAATCACAACACTTTTTCTTTTATTAGCAATGGCTATTTAAAAAAATTGAGAGTGTTAGAAGAAGAGATTGGGAGCCCTAGCCGGTTTGGCTCAGTGGATAGAGCATCGGCCTGAGGACCAAGGGTCCCAGGTTCAATTCTAGTCAAGGGCACATACCTTGGTTGCCGGCTCCTCCACTGCCCGGGCCCTCGTCAGAGCTAGTGCAGGAGGCAACCAATCGATGTGTTTCTATCACATTGATGTTTCTCTCTGTCTTTCCCTCTCTCTTCCACTCTCCCTAAAAATCAATGGCAAAATATCCTGGGGTGAAGATTAAGGAGAGAGAGAGAGAGAGAGAGAGAGAGAGAGAGAGGAAGAATGAAAGAGATTGGGGGAATGCCAATGACAAAGCATCGATGGATTTCCGAATGACTTTTGACAGAGTCTCTCATGAATTCTTTGAGGGCAATGTAAAGAAAAGTGAGTCAGATGTCACTATTAGAAGGATTCGTAGGTGCTTGGAAAAACAGAAGCCAAAGTTCTTGTGGATAATTTACTGTTTCCTGCGGCAGCTCTCATGTGCCACAGGCGGGATCTGCCCTGGGATTGTTGGCTGTTTTCCATCAGTGAAGGGGTGGAAATGACAAGAATGCGGATGCTTGTTCAATAGAAAGATGATGTTGATGAATTAGTGCTGTCAGAAATGGAAACCGTCTGCCGTGCAAAACAGTGCGTGCTGGGCGCGTTTGGCAGCGCCTTTGTGGCCACCTGTGGAGCTCCTGAGAGGAAGGCAGCTCCTGCCTGGGAGGGAGGTGGAACTAAATTATGTTTGTTTCTCCTGACCGTCGGATTCTATGAGTCTACCTTATTTGGGCTCTGAGACGATGAGTAAAATTTCTTTCTTGGAGTTGGTTGTAAATCCGTGATTTACAACGTTAGGAACCCGGAGCTACTCAGGTACCCTGAGCACTGTGGGGCTGTGCCCAGGAAGCTTATGTTCGTGAGATCAACATGCCCCCACATACATGAGACCTTCAAAGGATTGAGTGCATGTGTGCGAAGAAGGACTATACACTGTTTTTCAGGCACACTGGTTTCGTCTTTGAAGGATTAACTAAAAGCAGATGATTGAGAAAGGAAGAGCAAAAATAGAAAATGAAAGCTCAGCGGAGCCAGTTTTCTTTTGGTCGAATGTCTTTGGTTGAGCGGTCTTGGAAGGAGCTGTCTCAGAACCCAGGCCATCTACCCTGAGGCAGGACAGGACGAAGTAGGGGCAAAATGTATTGTCCATTCCTTTTTTTTTTTTTTAATATATTTATATTGATTTAAGAGAGGAAGGGAGAGGGAGAGAGAGATAGAAACATCAATGATGAGAGAGAATCATTGATCAGCTGCCTCCTGCATGCCCACACTAGGAATCGAGCCTGCAACCTGGGCATGTGCCCTGACCGGGAATCAAACCATGACCTCCTGGTTCATAGGTCGATCCTCAACCACTGAGCCACACAAGCTGGGCTCCATTCCTTTCTTATAAACTTCCTTCATGAAGCTGGATAAAAAATTCTGTTAACTTTTTCTAAAACTGGCAACAATAAAACACAGTGAACCTTCAGCTAATTTACCCCACTAATTGTCTTCAGTGAGACATTTTACCTCATTGGGAAGAAAATTTGAAATTTATAGCATTAATGAGTTCATCTTTTAAGCTTGAATCAAAACAGCATGGGTTTCTTAAATACCTGAACCAAGTTTCTAAATTGTTAAGGAAGAAAGGTCCCGTGAGTGAGGGGCTGGCTGACTCTTGGTGCAGTGGTAAGACCACACTTGGTGTGTGGTGGTCAGAGGCTGGTGCTGCTTGACTGAGGCCCCCATGGAGGTACCCTGCCCTGGACCTAAAGTTGGGGTGCTGAGGAGAGGATGTCCCTTCTCTCCATTTCCCTCAAAGGGTATATGGAGCTAAGACAGGACCTAGAGCAAGGAAGAAAGGATTCTGTGTTGGCAATAAGGCAGCTTCTTGAGGGATGAGCTGTTGGCAACCTTGGTGGGAGCAAAGAATGTGAGAGTTCACTCTGACCATGTTATGAATGAAATGATATGAAGTATTTCTGGCATACAGAAACGTATTAAAAATAGTATTACAAAACACACACCCATCACCCAACTTAAGAAATAAGCAAGAGCAACACATTTGGACACCCTCATATGCTTCTCTCTGATTTCCCCTCCCCTCCTCACCCCACTTCTCCCCTTTCCTTTTCAAGGTAATCACAATCCCAACTTTCACACCCTTCATTTTTCAGAGGAGGAAAACGAGGCCCAGAGAGGTTGGGAACTGGCCAATCTGAGACTAATGGGAACCACAAGGTACCTCCTGCTTCTCTCCATGGGGAGCAGCTCACTGTTAGTAAATTTGTACGGCGTCTCAGCCTAGTGGGTATAATCAAATGTGTAGTATATAGCAGGGGTCCTCAAACTTTTTAAACAGGGGGCCAGTTCACTGTCCCTCAGACCGTTGGAGGGCCGAACTATAGTTTAAAAAAACAACTATGAACAAATTCCTATGCACACTGCACATATCTTATTTTGAAGTAAAAAAACAAAATGGGAACAAATACAATATTTGTATTTGCATGTGGCCTGCGGGCCGTAGTTTGAGGACCCCGGGTATATAGAATGGCTCAGAGATGACTTTTTGGTCCCTATGATCTGTGTAGCTTTGGACAATAGGCAACGGAGAATAGAGGGGAAGGGATTTTAGCCAACACTTACTTGTGTAGAATCTTCGGGTGGTACAGTAAGATGTAAGTGGATACCTTATATCTTTGGGGGCGGTCTGATGGACAGACTGTTTAGAATCAAATGGCGGTGGGCTGTCCCAGTGGCGGCTCTGAGCTACAAAGTAAGACAGCAGCACAGTCAGGCCCCTTTCAGAGCCCTCCTTTCCTGCCCATGCAGATAGTGCACATCTCCGCTAAACCTTCAGAACAACTCTCCTGCTGAAATGAAAAATACCACTTTAAAATTTCCCCAGAAAATATCAGGATATTTAAAAAGCTTCCTGGGAGAAAGCTAGTGTGATTAAGATACATTTTCTGCCCTAGCCAGTTTGGCTCAGTGGATAGAGCGTCGGCTCGAGGACTGAAGGGTCCCAGGTTCTATTCCGGTCAACGGCACGTACCTTGGTTGCAGGCTTCTGGCCCTGGTTGGGGGCATGTGGGAAGCAACCAATCAATGTGTCTTTCTCACATCGGTGTTTCCACTCTCTCTACAAATCAATGGAAAAAATATCCTCGGGTGAGGATTAAAAAAGAAAAAAGAAAAAGATACATTTTCTGGTGAATAAGAACCTTAAGGATTGAATAAATAATATAATTAAAATTTTGGAGCAATTAAATTTTGATAAAATTAGGAAAGCAAATAAGATTATTTCCCTCCTGCTAATAGAATGGCATATAATTTTGAAATTCTGGAGGAAGCACAGGTGTTTTTCTCATTTTTATTTATAGATTTTTTAACAGTCTGGGCTTTTACACTGTCAGTTAAAAAAAAAAAACACCCGAAACCAGCAATTTTCACTTAGACTTTATTCACAGATATTTGAAAAGGTGTGTTTGGAGAAAGCACTCAGTCCATCACAAGATTGTCCACTTATTTTTATCCAGGCTGGCGTAATGTCTATAAAAATCATCAAACAGAGCTTAAAAAACAAGTACTAGATATGAAATACATCGATGGGTTCTTTATTAAAGAAGTAAGGGAGCTGCCCTGGTTGGGTAGCTCAGTTGGTTGGAGCATTGTCCTGTGCACCGAAAGGTTGCAGGTTCGATTCCCCATCAGGGCACATACCTAGGTTGTAGATTCAGTCCTCGGTCGGGGTGTGTACGGGAGGCAACCGATCATGTCTCTCTCTCTCTCTTTCCCCCACCCCCTTCCTCTCTCTCTAAAACCATAAACATACTCTCAGGTGAGCATAAAACGGTAAGGGAGCTGTGTCTTGCTGAATTCACCCACCCCCGAACGGAGCAGAAGGAAGTCAGACTCCCCCATGGGCTCCCCCTTGCTCACCAGTTGGAATGCCTGGTTGCAGTCAGGTTGATTAGAAAACTCACCGTTGTGTTTATCAGTGTTCTTTTGTCTTTCTCTAAAGCGGATATTGAAGTAGGATCTTTCCACTCTCTCTGTAAGAGGCAGTTTTTACCTTTTCACACTCAAATCGTAATGTCTTTCCAGGGTTGATAGAGTTACTTAAGGGCTCCGTTTCAGGCATGGCATTTTCGCTTCTGGTTTTCAGACTGTTTACTCCATGGCTCCATTCCCTTTCCCACAACTGGCAGAGTTGAGGGAAAAGTACACCTACAACATTACACCGTTCCCAGCTACAGTGAAACCCACCTCCGTGTCTGGGTAAGGTCTCTTTTTTCCCTTCTTGTTTTCGTTGAAAGAAGACTAGATACTTTAACTGGTTATTGTAACTTAATGATTGTTAAGGCCTAGAAATATATTCAAAGTAGTTTGGTTCTTAAAATCTGGATGTTTTTTAAGGTTTTGATGTAAATTCAAGAGAGTGATTTTTAAAACTTCTTTCCAAGGAAGACTAGAATATAAACTGAAGGGACCTGTAGCAGCCCCACAACTTATTTAAAAATATCAAATATTTAAAAAAAAAATCTCAATAATTAAAATAGTGTAGAACTGAAGCATGAAAAAACAGATGAGCTTATTTAAAATGCTATAAAGACCAGACATTGACAGATACACAGGAATACAGTATATGAAAACTTGGCATATCAAATAGTAGTGAAACGAGGTATTATTTAGTAAATGGTGCTGGGCCAATGAGACCTACTCTGGAAGGAAATAAAGTTAAAGTTTTTCTTTACATCATACAGTAGGATACATTTCATATAGATGAGAGACTTAAATGGGAAAAAATGAAGTAATAACATTAGCAGAAGAAAATTGGAAAAATGTCTTTAGTTCTTTGGAATTGGGAAGGCCTTAATGACAGCCTCAAAATAAAAAAATAAAAAACAATAAAGGAAAAAAAAACACTAAGCATTTACAAATAATATTCTGTATGACTAAAACCAAAACAGAACAAAATAGAACCCTCATAAGCAGACACAAAAATATTCATGGAAAAGTATTTGTAACTGCTATCTCTCATAAAGTTCCTAGAAATTAATATGGAATGACCACCCAACTGAAAAATGATGGAAGGATGGGACTAGGTAGTTTACATAGAAGGCAGCATCAAGAGGAATGTAGCAAATAACTAGATTGAGAGTCTGTTACTTTGCCTATCAGATTAACAAGAATTCAAAAGGTTGATGTGCACGCTCTTGATAAGGCCATGGGGACACAGGCACATTGCAGGTGAGAGGTTGCTTACTACAGGATTCGTGGCAGGCCGTTGGGAAGTACTGTCCAAAATTTGTAATGGATTTTGACCCAGCAATTCTACCTCTATGAATTATCCCACAAATACATTTATACACATGCAAAACACAGGATGTATAAAGGTTACTTATTGCAGCATTGTTCATAATGGCATAATATTGAAACCACTCAAGTGTGCTTCGTTAGCGCCGGGTTCCCTAACGTGCACTACATGCATACAATACAGTGCAGCTGTAAAAAACGATGAGGAAGCTCTTTGTAAGAATATGGAGAGGTTTCTTAAGTGAATAAAAGCAAGGTGCAGAAGAGTGTATATAGTATGCTAATACTTATGTAAAAAGAGGAGAAAAATAAGACTATCTACACTAATAAAAGAGAAACATGGTAATTGGCGTACAACCGCTACCCTTCCCATTGGCTAATCAGGGAGATATGCAAATTAACTGACAGCCAAGATGGCGGCCGGCAGCCAGGCAGCTGATGCGAACAGGGAGGCTTGCTTCCTTCAGTGACAGAGGACTCCAACGTTCCCCGCCTGCCTTGCCGGCCTCTGAGCTTCAGTTGGAAACATTGTAACATTTATAGAAGATAAACAAAACCCCAGAAACCTCCTGTCAGTCAGCCGGGATCTCAGAGCTGGAGTCGCAACATTGTTTCGAATACAGAAAACAAAGGCCAGAAACCTGCTTTCAGCAGCCGAGCCTCAGAGAGAAAGCCAGCTCTCAGCTCCAGTGACAGGCATAGAAGGTAAATAAATGCCAGAATAAAAAAAAA